GGGCCGCCGCGGCGCCCCCCCCCGCCGCGCCTGCGCAGGAGGCGCGGCCCGTCCCGCGCTCGCTGCTGGTCGCGTCGCAGGTCCCGGCCCGGAGCGGGCCCGCAGCGGTGCGTGAGGGCTGTGCCGGGGCTGTGCCGGGCCGGGGCGGTGCGTGAGGGCTGGGCTGGTCTGTGCCGGGCCGGAGCGGTGCGTGAGGGCTGTGCCGGGCCGGGCCGGGCCGGGGCGCTGCGTGAGGGCTGTGCCGGGCCGGAGCGGTGCGTGAGGGCGGCTCCGCGGCCGCACCAGAGGGCTATCCCGGGTGCCTGTCCCCGGTGCCAGTCCCCGGTGCCAGTCCCGGGTGCCGCCGGCCAGGCACAGGGACCCCGCGGAGCGGCGGCCTGGCGGTGTTTGCCCCAGGGGCAGCAGCCCCGGCCGGGCTCGGGTTTGGGCTCCGCGGTGCCAGCGAGGGGCGCGGCGGGGTTGGCTCTGCCAGGGCGCGGCCCGTGAGGGATCCGCGGCGGGGTGGGCAGCCGGGAGCTGTGGGAATCCAACAGCAACGAGAAGTATTTTTAAATTTATTTATTTACTTTTACCGTATTTTGTTCGGTGTATTCGTGTAACCCTGGGTGCCTCCCAGGGCCTTGCAGGGCTGAACCTTTCGCTTTGGCAGGGCAAGGATGAGTCTGTTCGGGTCAACGTCGGGGTTCGGTACCGGCGGTACCAGCATGTTCGGCAGCACCACAGCCGATAACCACAACCCCATGAAGGTACGTGTGCCAGCCCCTGTGCTCTGTGTGTGTTAATTTCTCACAGCAGGACCCACCGACTCATTCTCTAGAAGTAATAAGAGCTCAGTTCAGTTTTCACAAGTTGTTCTGTCTCCTGTCCTTTGCAGGATATTGAAGTAACATCCCCACCTGATGACAGCATATCTTGTTTAGCGTTTAGTCCACCAACGCTGCCGGGTAATTTCCTCATTGCAGGATCATGGGCCAATGATGTAAGTATTCTCAGTTAAACATGCAGATTAATAAAATGCCTGAACTGCAAAGTGGGATCCTAAAAGCTTGTGCAGTGCACCTGGAAACCTAACTTGTTGAAGAACTGTAAAATGTATGTGTGGTACCAAGGCACTAAATTTAACATAAATCATCACAAACCCAAAAAGATTAAGTTATTTGATTAAGTCATAACAAGTATTTTTTGATTTGAAGGATGAGATCCCGGCTGGCTCAGGCAGGGGGGTAAGACAAATGTGGGCATGTTTTCTAATTGTGTTCTGCCCATCTGAGGGTTCAGAGCTCTCCAGACAGTGTGGTGAGAGGTTACAGGTTTGCAAGGCACACTTGAGGTGGAATTGAAGTTATGGAGTTGAGTTTTGGCTCTACAGGTGAAAGGAACATAAGCAAAAAAAAAAAAAAGGTTTCACTAGTTCTGAAAAACCCAGACTTTGGTATTTATAGCCATACTTTTTGTTGGATAAACTAGGGCTGGACAAGTCTTTTCAAGCTCCTGTTAGGATGGTTTATCTGCATTTGCTTCTCGTGTTGCAGGTTCGCTGCTGGGAGGTTCAGGATAATGGCCAGACAATTCCAAAGGCTCAGCAGATGCACACAGGGCCTGTACTCGATGCCTGCTGGAGTGATGTATGTTGTTATTTACAAACAAATGCACGTTTTTTACCTAAAGTCCAAATAAATTGGTTTGTTGTTTGCAGACAGATAGTTCCATATGAAGCTGCAGCCCATGAGTGTTGCACAGACTGAAATTTCTGTAAATGTGTGCTGAGTGTGTCCTAGTGGGATGGGTGTAAGAGGGATAAAAGTGAGCTGAAAAGTTAGGAGTGTATTAAAAGCTAGATAAAAGTAGCACCTTTTGTTCTTTTATGACATAGTAATAAATAAATTTGAATTTATGTTTCTTCTTTGTCTTGCAGTCCCTGTACCTGTTACATTGATGTTACACTGTTTCTAGAAGAGAGTAACACTTGACAGTTTTCCCATTCACTAATCTCTTGGGTTTTTTCTTATTTTTTAGGATGGAAGTAAAGTATTTACTGCTTCATGTGATAAAACTGCCAAAATGTGGGATCTCAACAGTAATCAAGCAATTCAGATTGCACAAGTAAGTAAAGCCCAAAGTACTAAATGTTTTTTATTTTCCTATTTTTATTAAAAACTACCTTTCTAATTTTTATACTTTTGTGATAGTGAAGTGCACCTGAACAGGTGATCAAAGTGATTTAAAAACCCTGTGCATCTGTTTCCTCTGTTACTTGAGGGAGCTCTCTCCACTGCTGCAGTGATCTCACTGATGCATTAGAGGGGAAAAATATTTTTAAGAAGTCATTCAATTGACTTCACAAGTACCAGCTTTTTACTGCAACAACAACAGAATTACAATTTACACTCTCAAATTAGAAGTTAATGTCTGTTTGTAGAATATGCAATTATGGTGACTAAAATTGTAATTTAAGAAGAGTTGTTCTCTTTAATGATTGCTTCTTGCATGTGTGTTTGTCCTTTCTTTCTTCAGCATGATGCTCCTGTGAATTCCATCCACTGGATTAAAGCACCCAATTACAGCTGTGTGATGACAGGAAGCTGGGATAAAACTTTGAAGGTATGATTTTTTTACCTGAACAAATGGATACAAAGTGTGCTAGTAATTTGTGTATCAAATATTTACGTGAAGTGGAAATATTTTATCAAGTTCTAATAATTAATGGAATAGCCTCACTTCACAGGGAGTTGGAATGTTCTGACTGTAACAAGAATGAAACAGTTGCATTCCCTGTCCTGTAGTAATTTTAGGTGTATCCAGGGTAAGTTTGTTTTTTCTCTGTTCCTTCCAGTTCTGGGACACCCGTTCACCAACTCCTATGATGACTCTGCAGCTCCCTGAAAGGTGTTACTGTGCAGATGTGGTAAGTCAGGATTTGTGGCACACTGGTGCCAGCTGGATAACTGGGAGTAGGAAGAAGCTCTGGGGGCTTCTGTGGGACAGGATTTGAATACTGGTAGTGTTTGATGTCTGTGTGATTGTAGTACTAGAACACAATCTGATCTTCTTGATCAGGCCCTGGAAAATAGGGATTTTCATCATACAAAACACACTTGGTCTCCTTTTAACATCACAAAAATCAGCATGAGGCCTGACCTACCCTTAATTCTGGACAAGTTTGTAAACCACCATTGCACTTCACACTGGAAGAATCAGATCATAATTAGAAGGTTTTTGGTGTGTTAAATTTCTCAGTGGCAGGGAAAAACTGTTTGTGTTGGAAGTTACGTGAATAAATGAACTTTTTTCTTTATCTGCTTCCTATTTCCCTCTCTCTCATTCCTTTTACTTCTTCAGGGTGCTCTGCCATGCAATTAACACAAGTGTCTCTTCCAACCTGTTTTACAACCTTATCCAGGTTCATCCTATGGCAGCTGTGGCCACTGCAGAAAGGGGTTTGATAGTTTACCAGTTAGAGAACCAGCCTTCTGAATTCAGAAGAATAGAATCTCCTCTGAAACACCAGGTAAATAATAATATTTGTATTTATACAGTATGTTGCCATTGTGGGCTTGACATTTTTTGTAAAAACCTGCAGTGGTTCAAAACCAAGTTATCTTAGCATGGCAGTGGCCTGGTTTTCCAGTGATCTGTTGCTCATCTTCACAAGGATTTAGAAATTTAAACTGTTGCTCAAATTCTCAACAGAGTTTGAGCTCTCTCTTGACCTTGCTATTGGTTTTGCTTTACCTTGCATTGATGACTTTGAAGTTTTGTGTCCCTGTGGAAAAGATGTTTCTGTCTAAAACTGCTTTGTATCTCTCAAATTCAGCACCGCTGTGTTGCTATTTTCAAAGACAAAGTGAACAAACCAACTGGATTTGCCCTTGGAAGCATTGAAGGCAGAGTAGCTATTCATTATATCAACCCCCCAAACCCGTAAGTGTTCAATAAAACATCCTCTGTCTATTGCTCAGGCCACAGTGATGGAAATAAAAAGCTTTCTTTTCCAAATATTTTAAACTTTTTAATTTCCTTTCCAGTGCAAAAGATAATTTCACTTTTAAATGCCATCGCTCCAATGGAACAAACACATCAGCACCTCAGGACATCTATGCTGTGAGTATCCAGCAAGTATCAGATATACACTGCACACTCCTGATGTAAAATTGGCTCTGAATTGTTCTCCTTGACCTTTTATCTTGCCTAAGGCTGTCTTAGGCACATTTGAAGACCTGTCATAGTCATTCTTTAAGAGGAAAAATACAAAAAACCATTTATATATATATAAAAAAAATTTATACTCTTATAAAACAAGCATTAGATCAGCCTTTCATTGAATCTGCTTGTCAACAAGTGGAGTTGACACTTGTTGATTTTGCAGATATTGAAACAATAGCTGTGTAATGACATTATACATTGAAATATTAGATACCAGGCCAAAAAGATGGTGTTGTTCTTGTTGCTTTGGTGGTTTTTCTTTGGTTGTTTTGGGGGATTTTTTCTCCAAAGAAATTTTAAAGATTTCAGAGCTGTATTTAGTTGAAATTTAATGTATTTACTCTCGACTTCAGCACACCTTCTGTGAGTGTGTCCATCACCTGTTGTGTGGTGTTTTACACGGTGTTCTGTGTGGCCCTGCAGGTTAATGGGATTGCATTCCACCCTGTCCATGGTACTCTGGCCACAGTAGGGTCTGATGGGAGATTCAGCTTTTGGGATAAAGATGCACGGACAAAGCTAAAAACCTCAGAGCAGCTGGACCAGCCAATATCTGCTTGTTGTTTCAACCACAATGGCAATATATTTGCTTATGCTTCCAGCTATGATTGGTCAAAGGTAAGAAGGCTTTAGATTCATGTTCATACTTCCAGTTGACAGCTGAGACTCTTCTTGTGAGGCTTTTGCTGGGTTTTTTTTTTTTAAGTAGTAGGTGAACCTTCCTAATTTCTAAGAGAACTTGAAATGGCCATTTTAGCCACCTGATGAAATTTAACATTGAATTTGTGGTGTTTCAGCTCCAGCTGGACAAGATTGGTGCTGGTTTACAAATGTGGATGAGCAAACTGTAAATTCCCTGACTCAGAGGTTGCTATGGTTGCTCACACACGTTGTGCCGTGGGCAGTGTCACAGGGCAGTGTGGCACCCTGACAGCTTCCCACAGAGCTTGTGAAATGCACATCTCTGCTGCTGGTGCAGGGAAAAAAGCTGTCACTGTGATTATAAACACTTACCCAGTGTTTGGATGCTCTCTATTAAATTTTCACTGCCACTTAGTGAGGCTTTTGATGGTGCTTATTTATGTATTTCTCTTCCACAATTAACAATACAGATGCAGCAGAGCCACAGCAAACCATGATCTGTGGAAAATCAATACTTCCTAGTAGTTTAAGGAGGGAGGGCAGCAAGCTTGGAACATAACTAATTTTCATGGTGCTGGGAGGATAATGTTCCTTGTGGTTTTGAGTGAAATGAATGCAGAAATCACATAGACTAACTCAGCTGCATGCCACAGAGAGCTAAATTTTAATTCGCTGCATTGTATTTAGTCCTCTGCCCACATTAAAATATTTGTTGGTGCCAGGGCAGATGGATTCTTCCGTTCTGCTCCTTGGGCAGACTGCAGTGGTACCTTTCAGATCTGTAGGCCAGCATTAAATAGTAAAATCAGTTGGTGCTAAGTACTGAACCTCCTTCCCAAAGCCATTTCTTGTCCACAGCATTGGTAATTTCCAACTTTCATGTTGGACGTCAGTATCTTTATTAGTGTTTACTCTCCCTGATTTGCATACTTGGGTATTAATTTGGTAATGTGTATGAAAATGATATGCAAAACAGGATATTTGCATCTGCAGAACAGAAAATTCTGTAGTTGCCTGTAGAACTTGGGCTTCACTTGGAAAAAATGTGACCTTATGTCATTTAAAAGACAGAAAATATAAAGTGAAGCTGGGTGGCCATTAAAGATTTAGTTTTTTTCTCTGCTTCAAATGACATTTAAAAGAAATTATACTGAGTTCTAGGCTGCATCTGTAAAGTAGAACTTAGAGATATGTGGTTATTTTTTTAAATGAAAACTATTTTATGCTTTAAAAATGGATAAGAGTCTCTTAAATTTTACTTTATATGTATAGTTCTTGTAATTGCTTGTTCAAGTAAGCTGTTCCAAATCCACCAGTGTGGTCCAATATCTGGTCTTAAAGGTTTTAAGATTAAATCTTAATAAACCAAACTAATGGAATATTCATATTCTTACATTTTAAGTAATGCTGATATTTTTTCTTTGAAGAGAGTAAATGTAGATTATTTTTGTCTTTAGGGTCATGAATTCTATAATCCACAGAAGAAAAACTACATTTTCCTGCGAAATGCAGCAGAAGAGCTGAAGCCCAGGAATAAGAAGTAGGGAGTCTGAGTTGAACTCCTCTCCTTGTTCTGCCCTTCCTGCCTCTGCTCTTTGGCCATTTGTGCCCTGTTGCACCATGGTTCAGTCAACTTTGGATCACAAACATTTAGCAGGAACTGTAAAAATGACAGTAAATGTATTCTGACTTGCTGGAGAACACTTTCCAAATTAGATACTCTGATGTGTATAAGAAAGAAAGGCTCCTATTGACATGACTTAACCACTCTCTGTTCCACAGCAATAATGAGATTGCAGCAAAATCAACATCTGGGGTGGATATTCCTGCTTTGAAGTGCAGCCATTTGTATCTCTGGATTTATTTTGTTAGTATTACATTAAAATATGTTAATTATAATCGTTCTGGAGAAGTTGTATAAATACTGTATTTTTTGTAAGTACTTGGAGAATCACCAGTAATTCTTCTCAAAGGAGGCTTGTTTTTTTTCTTATTAATAATTCAGGGGTTCTTTCATTGCTTTCTGGTTTTTGAAATGGAAGCATTGTCTGCTGTATGCCAGGAAGAAATGCCTTGAAAATAGTTTTCCCTCCTTTTTTAGATGATGAGGAAGGTGTGTAGGGGCCAAGAGCAGTGACAGAAGCTCGAGGCAGAAGATGGGCCCAGTGCAAACTTCAGATTTTCCTGATACTCCTGCAGTGGACATGACTTCTGAGCAAACTGCTTTTTCTAGGTCAAAGGGGAAGTTGCAGTGGTGCCAAGTGGTGAAACAGCTCAGAGTTCAGGAACATGAGCAAACCTTTAAAAGGTTTTATTCATGACCAAACCAATGTGTGCAAAATCCCTTTGACCTAAGCTTCTCTGAAGCTGACACCTTTTAGAGTTGTAAGCTGAGCATTTTAACGTGGTTTTGTCCTGTAAGAGGGTGTTCAGGACTGAAAAAAAATACTCATTTTTGTATTAACTAGAAAGTAGTGCTGGGAAGCTTCATCCTGATCAAAAATGCTGTGAAACAAAATGAGTGGGTCTCTTTCTGACTTGAATCTACCACTGTTTACTTTTAACTAGCCAGTTGTATACATGCCAAAGTTTTCTTTTTGGAAGTGAATGCTTATTATTCCTGTCTAACTATTGTTTGTTTGATAATGACTGAATAAAAAGGGGCTGGGGGGAGCATGTATAGAATTACATGGCATATTGTACAAATTCTCTGTAAAACTGTTATGGTTTCATGCTGGTGGTTACGGATTCATGCTGAGTTTCAAATAAAATTTTTACTAAATGCTTTTTTATATTCAGAAGTTCTGTTCTAATAATGTGGGCAAGGCAACGTGCTTCCTGTTTCAGAGCAGCTTCTTGGCCTTTCACTGTAATTCAGGGACATTTCCTGAAAGTCAGCTCCTTTTCCTCCAGCTGCTTAAGCTGAGAATCCAATGCATTTTCCAACTTCTGTTCCACTACAAATGATTCCTGTGGGTTTTTCTCTCAAAGAATTGGGAGAACTGGTGTGAGGAGAAGTGGTGTGAAAGGCCTTTTGTTCTGAGATTGATCAAGTTCATTGCTATTTCAGCAGCCAGACACCTGACATGGTGAGTACAGATGAATCACAGACTCTTCAGACTCTCCAGCCCCACTGTCTTTTCACGCCAGACTCTTCCCTGTGTTCATCAGTTTTTTGCTGGATGGGCATTTCTTGTTTAGTATGGAGGAAAATCCTTTAAATGCACCCAACTCTGCTTTGTTATGGGATTTTCTGTTTTATTTCTCAAGATAGTCTGGTTTCTTTCCTGCTACCTCTATGTTTTACATTGTTTTAGATTTCACATTCATGCACAACTTGTTTTCTTTAAGGTAGGAAAGAGTTCCCAGCACTTCAATCAGTAGCTGATCATTTGCTCAAACATTTCTTTGGTTTCTGTTGATATTTTTCCCTAAAGTTGTGATTGTTATGCAGCAATCTTTGGTTGTTAGCACATTTTTCCAGGCTTCCCAGTCAACTGAATGCCACCAAGCAACTGCAGGCTCAAGATCAGGTGTAAGTGATCACTGAAGTGTGCACAACTCCCACTGGAGTAAACAGGGAAGAATGGAATGTGTCATTGTTTCCTGCTTTTAAAAAAATGTCGTTTTGTTGAAATACCTAACACTGAGTTCAGCAGGTCCATTTCTCTGGGATGCAGTGGAGCTGCAGCTGCTGCAGTGGCCACTGAGGCCAGCACTGCTGAGTCTGGTTTCATAACACATGATGTGTTAATATGTTGAGTACTCACTCTGCTGGACTGAATTTCTTTGTCAGTGAGAATTTTCTTTGTCAGGATTGTTTAATCATCACTTGCTACTTGTTCAGACTAATTTTAGAAGGACATCGTTTCCATTATGTTGCTGTGCACATCAGATGTGTTCAGCTGGGAGGAGAGTCAGGCTTTGAACTGAATTGTTTTCCGTTACCCAAGTTAAGAGAGCACATTGGCAATTTGCTCTTCCCTGGAACTGTTGTGAGCTTCTGTTGTAAAGTACACACAGCTGTATCCCTTCAAGCATCAAAAATGAGAGTTTATTCACACCCTTTAAAGTGTTACTGCATTTCTGGAAATGTATTAACTTGCTATTCTATGGCAGTTACCTGTCCAAAAAAACTGAGTGAAGAATGTAAAATGCTAGCATGTACCCAAAGCTAACCATAGGAATGCTTGATTTATAAAATAACTTCTTTAGTTTTCTGAAAGTTTGCTGTCAATGTGTTTTATTGCAGGCAAATAATCTTTGGCATAAAGAACAGCCCAGTTAAACCCCTCAAAAGGGAAACGTTTTACATTTTCAGATGAGTTTCCTGCTGCTGCTCTCACATGTCAGTGGTTTTGCACATTGGTTTAATGAAACGTATTTCAGAAAACGAAATAATTGGCAAAGTTTGTCTGCTGGAGCCTTTCACAGATGAAACAAGACATGTTTGCACAATGGCAGGCAGGCAGAGTATTGATTTACCATCTGTCACAGGAAATGCAATCCTGAATTGGTGAGTACTCCAGTTTAGCTCCTAGGCTGGAAAAACTGGTCACTGACTGTTCTGCAGAAGGGAGTGGATTTGAGATTTGGGATTAGGTGTGCATGGGATATTTCAATAAATATTTCAATAAATACTGTTGCTTTGGCCTGGCTCAGTTTAATGGTGAGGAAGTGCTGTTTGCAGATGAGGTGTCTGGGCAGCTGCCCACGAGAAGGAATTGTGTCAGATCACTATCACGAGGTTTCACACTCTCCAGCCTTTGAAATTATAGAAACCACTGGTTTCCAATTTGTTTGCTTTCTGCAGAGATGAACCTGAGCAAAATGAAATGGCTTTTGATTTTTAAGTCTCCAGATTGGCTAATTAAGTGCCATTTGCAGTCATTTGGGTAAGACTGATTTATTTCACAAAACTCTGGTGCAGATTCACCATGTAAAGCATTTCCCCTGGGTTATCCAGCTTTACCAGCCAGGTGGTGATCATCACCTGGAGCTGCAGCACACAATAACGACTAGAACAAATTCAGAACAGGAACTTTCTCCACCCCTGCAGGCCGCAGGAACGCAGCAGTTTGCAGGCGTTGCTGTAGCTCTGCTGTGGTGCCAGGCGATGGCAGTGCTGCTGCCTCCTGAGCAGAGCTCTCCCTGCAGCCTGGGGCTCTGCACGGAGCTGCAGTGCTGCTGGAATACAAGGTACAGTTATTTGTAAAAGCAAGTTATCCCAAAATGCTCAGAAGAAGATGGAAATAATGTCTATTTTTGAGTATTTCAGGAGTGTACCTGATATCCATATATATAAACCAAGTCTTTAGAGCTATGCATTGCTCTTTCAGCTGCTCAGTGAGAGATCTGAACAAGCAGGTCATGTATTTGTTCCCCTTCTCTCACTATCAGGCCCTGAAGTCCCCTGAACCAAGTCAACCAAACAAGTTTCTTCTTCCCCTGGCTGCTGGCCTCAGCTCCTGGGCTCCAGGCCCCTTCCTTGCTGGCCTTGAAGGTCCTAGGCTACTGGCCAGCCCAGTGCTGCTGCTGAGCACCAGGGCTCTGTCTGTGAAATTATGGAGTTAGAAATCCTCAGGGGAGAGCTGGGACCCAAACTGCTGCGGGGCAGTGACCTGTGACCCCCCATGGCCACGGGTGCCTCCACTGTCCTCTGCTTCCTCAGGACTCAGTGGCTCATTCTGTCTATGTGATTGTTGCATTGATTTACTAAACCATGTGTTAGGATCCTCAGGCTTGCAGAGGATCCAGGCCATAAAGAAATTATACATTCTCTATTGTGTTATTTACAGATTGTACCATACTGATGCTACTTGTAGAAATCCTGTGCCATACTAATCATAAATTCCGTGCTATGCTAAGCAGAATATCCTGCTGAGAAAACCTTGATTGTAACTACAATTTGGTGCTGTTGTTATTCTGCCAAAAACTCCTAAAAGAACCCATCTGTCCCCTTAGTGTCAGGTGTAACAGGTGTAATTCAAAGGGGGAAAACCTGGTAGTATTTTCACTGACAGAATGTTGTCTTTGCACACCTTGGGCTCTGGGCTGGAGTTGGTAGAACTGCATTTCATCCTGCAGCTGGTGTTCAAACAGCTGGAAGCCCTCTCTTTGCCTTTCCAGGTAAGCTTAGGTTTATACACAGCAGTGCAGGGCCCATCCTGCTCAGAAGCAGCACAGCCCTTCCAGGAGAGGAAGCTGCTCCTGTTCTTCATTGCCAGGTCAGAACAAACAGAGCAACACCAGCTGGCTGCTGTGGTGCTTCCAGCAGAAGTGCAGGGACTGCCACTGTGCTCTGTGTGCACGTGGAGCAGCAGTGCTCCAAAAATGAGCAGCAGGAACAGGCCCAGGAGAGCAGAGCCTCTGCAGTGGCATCAGCTGTGAGCAGTGTGAGCCGAGAGTGGCACTGATGCACAGCCCCAGGGAGGCCCCACTTGATGCAGAATGGGACTGAGTGGCCAAACTGATCTCACCCCTTCCTCAGGGGCAAAGCCAGCTTCCAGGTGTTTGCTCCTTCCTCAGGGGCAAAGCCAGCTTCCAGGTGTTTGCTCCTTCCTCAGGGGCAAAGCCAGCTTCCAGGTGTTTGCCTCTTCCTCAGGGGCAAAGCCAGCTTCCAGGTGTTTGCTCCTTCCTCAGGGGCAAAGCCAACTTCCAGGTGTTTGCCTCTTCCTCGGGAGCAAAGCCAGCTTCCAGGTGTTTGCACCATTCACCTGCTTCTGCAATGGGGATGGTGCTACACCTGGCAAGAGTAATTCACATTTTTAGGTCTTGGTTGCAAGGTAACGTGAGACTGAGGCAGCACCACAAAGGGGAGCATGTGCCTTGGGAACGCTTGTGCACGGACAGAGTAATTCCAAATGTTTGTGTTGCATCAGTTCTGCAAATGCTTTTTGTTACAGTGCATAAAAGATACAATACCTGCCAGCATTAGCTGTGTAAAGAGAGACCGTTTTCTTCTGTTGACTAATTATGCAGTGAATATATTCAGTTTGAAGGGACACTTCAATAATTTAGCAGGCATGTGCCAGGTAATACAGGAGCTTTTGTCTTACTGGTGGCACAGATCTCCAATCGTGTGTAACCCAATCCCTGGCTTTATGTTTTCAAGGAAGTGTTTGGTATAGCTCCTGTATCAAGTGCCACTGAAAAGCAGGCCTAGATAAGAGATTAAGGTAATGCTCTTGCCTGGGTGTAGGGAAAGTTTACCCTTTGCTGCCCAGGGTGTCTTCTGCAGGCAGTAACTGCTTTATAGTGGGGGTGTGGATGTGCTGAGCTCCAACAATGAGCTTGTTGTAGGGATGGGAAAATGCTGCAAACTGCATGTTAAACACCCAGGTCAGCTAAGCCTGTCCTTGGGGGTGCATTAAGAAATGCTTTGTGGTTTGACAGGAAATGATTTCTGTCATTCATGTGTATGAAATGCAGATTGTTGATTTGCTGGTCAGACAAAGAGAGGGGCGATGTTCAGTTCCTGAGAACACTGTGAAATAAAATCAGGTAATGGATTTTCTTCAACCCTTCCCAAGGTACTTCCTCACAGTTGTGCCACTCCCAGAAGGGTGTAAGCTCAAATGTCCTTTTCTGACGCACTGCCAACGGGTTCAATCACCTTCCTTCCCTTGCCTGTAAAATGCAGCTCACTACTGCTCTACAGCAAAGGGAGATCCATTTGGTTTACAACATGCCATGATTATTGCAGCCAGTAAAGGGCAGAGGTAATGCAGTAGCTCAAACTATTCTCAAATGACTAAACTGGAGTTCAAATACAATCTTTACAACCTTTTTT